AAAGTTTGAGTTTAAACCTCACCAACCACTCAGGACTAATAAAAAACCTATCTATTCTACTCCATTTATTTCCATCGAGAGTATTGCACCAAGTGTATTTTCTGCCTAGCATTAGCACAATTATCTATGAAATCTTTGAACTCTTTCATGCCTCTATCCCTGCATGATACTCCTATCATTTCCCCTACATTCCTAATTTCATTGAAATCCCCACCAAGACACCAGGGTTTTGGGAAAGAATTTTTCAGATTTAGTAGGGTCACCCATAATTTCCTTATCCTTAATACATCATTGGGAGCATAAGTGTTGACAATTACACAATCAAATGAGTTGTGAATCTTACCTGATAGTAGAATGAGATTTTTGCTACTGCAGCATTGTGAGAGTTGAAAACTTCAAGGTCCCAGATGCAAATTAAACCACCTGGTAGTCTTACAGCATCCACAGACATGAACTCCATCTTATCTCTAGGCCAAATACTTTTCACTCACAAACTAGTAGTGCTTGATTGTTTTGTTTCTTGAAGTAGAGCCATATCTATTGCCCTATCAAGCAAAAGCTTTCTGATTTTCCTTCTCTTTTCAGGCCTCCTTACTCCTCTGATATTCTAGCTTAGTGTCTTCATTGGAAACAAATAAGCCCCAGATTTCCCCCATTAGGAAATTGATTATTCCACAATACCAGTCCCTCTACCCAATCTCTCCTTATCCTTCTTCTCCACGTGTGTTAATTTCTTAATGACCTTAGATTCTTGCCCCTTATAATCAAAACCCAATCTTTTTCCTACTTGCAATGTTGCATGAACCTCTTAAAGAATGTCCCTTGCAAAAGAGGGCTGCTTTAATTCTGGATTATGGTTGGATGAATTAGGTTTAGCTGTTAGTTTTGAACTTGTTCCTTTGGTGATGCCTTTGCTTGGTCCTGCACCTTTATGTCCTATTCTTCTAGCAAACCCAGAGAACCTACCCGCTAGCAGAGGGTGTTTGATCCCATCACTTCTAGCTTTGATGATGCCTTTTCTTTTGCCTTTCTTAAATCGGTTCCTAATGGAGCCTAAAATGGATGGGCTAATTGTGATACTATCCTTTGACTGAGAATTCACCCTGCTGCTCCACACACTGGCTTCGCAGATGGAATTTTTAATCCAACACTAGAGGGCCCAATGGGCTGCAGACCCAACTAGGCTAACTTAGTGAGTTATAGTCCAGAATGATCATGACCCAAGTCTACCTCAAGACAAATGCTAGGTCTATCTTTAAAAGGCTCACTTAGACTCTTGATAAAGCTTGGGGTGAGGATCTGACCATCTACTGAAGGGGCTACAAAAGCTCTTTTTTGAGGGCCATGATTACAATCTACACTCTGTTGCAAATTGCCCATAACTAACTGTTCTTCAACACCTTTTTGAGCAACTTGATTGCACCACTGCTTCTGTTGCAGGCATACTGCTGGCAATGATGATTCGACCATACATAGACCTTCTTCATTTGAATTTCCCGCGCAATCTATAGTCTTTGCCACGGCTGATGCATTGTTCCAGCTACCATCTGTAACCAACTCATCCCTATCCTTCATTCTAGATGTCATAACCTTATTGGTTACATCAGACTCTTCTATCACTTTATCCGCTACTTCATCTGCCTTGACATCATCTTCTTTCTCTGAGGAGTTGTGTTAGATGAGTTGGAGTACACCATTAACTTTGGAGCAAATAGTTTCAACTGGTTCCTTAGAAGGCGTTTCTTTACAGCTGATGCTAACATCCTCTGCAGTCTGCTCTTTAAAGATTCTTGTGGGATAAACTCTTCATTTGTACTCCAGGTTGATGCTTATACTTATCGGGTCCATAACATATGTAACTATTCTGAATCTACCACAGCGAAATGATTTGGGTGTGCGAATATCACCATCTAAGAATACCAGCTCCCCCTATAGTCTTGCTATCTCTCTGATGGTATTTGAGTTCCATAGATTGGGGGGTACCCCGTAACAATTGATCCAAACATGCCTCTCTTGTTGAAGATGCATTCTTGGTCTCCACTCTGTGATGTACTCACACCAGTTATGGAACCAATCCAAAATTAGAGACTTTTTGCTCATCAAGTCTTCCTTGGAGGGGAATGAGAGAAACATATCCTGTCCTCCTCCTCTCTCACCAACACATTCTGCGCTCCTTTTTTTATGAGTTCATTTTTTACCTGCAAAATAGTATGATCCATTCTGAGTCTCATAATCATGCTCTCATATAGCCACTCATTGCCTATCTCTTCTCCTTTGATAGTTGTCTTCATTGTAGATCTCGGTTGATCTCCTTTGATAACCTCTGTGAACGACCTTCCATTAATGTCGTGGTTCCATATATTGTTGTTTGCCATAGCTGATATGTTCCTTGTCACTATTTGTCTTGTTGCTGGGGGTTTCAGCCTCTGCCTTGCCACTGTGTGTTTAGCATACTTTTCGATTTTGACTGACAAAGGTTTGTTATCTACCCACGAGCCATTTTCTTTTTGTTCTGCTGCATTAGTTGCAATAGAGCAGTCATACCGTACAAACCCAAATCTTGAGTTTGTTGATTTCCTTATCTTTTGTGGTATGAATACATCCTTGACCACGCCAAACTTCGTGAACAGATCATACAAGTTCCTTGGTGCCATAGATTCAGGCAAGTGGTCCAACAAAGTGTAAACAAACTTGCTCTTCAACCTTCTGACCACGAGTTATGATTTGCTTGTCTTCCTATTTGCTTCACCACTAGGATCCATCCACCTAGTCTTCTAGCCTTCTTTTTTTTATCTAGACTCTCTAGTTAAAAATTTATTTAGAACTGAAATTCGAATAAATTTTGAAATTTGTTAATTGTTTTTGACTAACTCGAACTTAGTTTGATAAGTTTATATGTACTATAAAATCATGGAGAAATTACGAAAACAAATCATAAGATTTGAGTCTTGTAATAAAATAAATCTCTAGTTTTTAATTTTATCAATTTAAACCTTAATCTTTTGACTTGTTTTCTACCTAAACTATTTGTCTATTTCTGTTGAATAAAATCGATGAAAATTTTGATATTTTAGTCATTAAACTCAATGACAAAGGGTATTTTAGATATTTTATATATACATACTGATGATACTGTTTGTTCCAGTGAATGGATCAGACTGGTCCAAGCTCCTCAAGCCCACGTCCAAATGATCAAGCCCATCGGATAACCTACAAACAAGTTCAACAGGGAACTGGGTAGTCCCCCAGTGAACCCTCCGACGAGCAAGTTAGGGAGAGAAGTAGAGCGTAGAGAGAGAGATTAGAGATAGAAAAGCTTAACCTTCTTCTTGTCTTCAACGTTTACTTATATCCTTTGGTAATCATTTCGCTGTCCCTTCCGACCTGCCTTCCTCGCCGAAAGTCTATACTGTAGCTTACCTTGTTCAGGGTAAAGGGGTCTTGCTCCGACGGAGAGGTGTTGTCGTAATAAATGCTGTGATGGGCTACATTAATGGTGATGTGCAGTGGCAATAACTTTGCAGTTCTTTATCTGCTAATGTGGCTCGTCCTTCACCTGCAGTGTGTCCGAATGTCATTGGCTTTTTATGCCATGTTGGACTCCAGCTGTCCTGGACCTCACCAGTTGGGTTATGCATTGGGCTCCAAGTGATGGGCTTGGATTGTTCATAATGATTCGTGGCCTTTATGGACTTATACACGTCAGTAGTCCCCCATTCCCGAGTGTAGCTTTAGTCCGACGAAAGGAATATTAATGAAGTAGATGAGGGTGTTAGGGATTGGCAGGATGGAGGTTGACCGGCAGGGGTGACCGAGAGGGTGAATTGACCGGGAGGTGGTCCGACCGTGCTTTAGTCCAACGAAGGGAATACCAATGAAGAAGATGAGGGTGCTAGGGATTGGCAGGATGACCGAGAGGGTGAACCGACCAGGAGGTGGTCCGACCGTGCAGGGTGACCGAGTGGAAGGGCCGACCACGAGGAGGGCTGACCGCAAAGGTTGGCCGAGTGGGAGGGTCGACTACGAGGAGGGCCGACCGCGAAGGGGGCCGACCGCGGAGGTTGGCCGAGTGGGTGGGTCGACCGCGAGGAGGGCCGACCGCGAAAGGTGAGGTGGAGGGGCGTGGGGCTCGAGAGGCGGCGTGTAATGTGGTGATTTGAAGTGAAAAAGACAGAGTAAGGGAAGAAGACAGTGGATCGTGGTCGTACACGTGGCAACATCCCGCGGGGGGAAGGGGAGATTAGGCGATAGATCAAAAATGAAACGATAGGTCATTATGGGTGTTGAAAAAACAGTTTTGGCAGATGATTTGAAAAGTTTTCAAACTGGCGAAAATTAATTGAGATCCTTGGAATACGGGCAAATTGTGGGCTTTTGGCATTATTCGATTCACCTACTTGTTTATGAAAAATCAAAATATTCCAAGCGTGAATTCCTTTGTTGCTCGCGATACACCTCTGCAACATTTTTTCAATTTCCTTGCACCTGCATCTGAAGCGATTCGCAGGCATACCACAGAAATGGCCCAAGAAGAAACTACGAATGTCATGGTGGATCCACTTGGTGATGATGATGCAGTGGAGTTAGCACAGCAATATAGGATGGAGAGGGTGGGGGAGTCGGTGGTACGATCCCATGGTTCCACTATGATAGCAGCTCCAAAGCCAATCAGCCAGGCAGAACCAGATCACTGGCATACAAAGGTAGATAGATCAACGGTTATTGCAGCGGATTTCGAGGCCATTGGTGAAAAATACCAGGTACCTGCTGAAATAGAGTTGTTATTGCCGATGTCGACGGAGAGGCCATCCGACGCCAGGCCAGGGGAGTTTGCCCTTTCTGAGGAAGCATTGAAGGGAGGACTGAGGCTGCCCCTGCCGCAAGTGGTGGTAGATGTCCTGAATCATTTGGAGGTAGCACCGGGCCAACTAATGCCCAATGCGTGAAAGATCTTACTGGCCTGTGCAAGTGCGTGGCCGAAGGCGAATGAAGGGGCGGCCATGACAGTAGAAGAATTCTTCGCATGTTACAAGGCCTCAGGGCAGCAAGAGACTTGGGTCACTCTACAGGCAGCGGCAGGGAAAGGGCTGGTGGCGGGGCTGCCGTCATCGATCAAGGGATGGAGACCACGGTGGTTCTATGTATCTGCTAGTGGAGGGGTTAGAGTGCGCACCATTTGGAAAGTGCCCACCAAGTCTGTGGAGCCAAGGCTGGGAGCAGCAATAGAGGAGAGGGTGAAGAGGGTAAAGGAATGGAGGGAGAAGGAATGGGCTAGGTGGGACGAACTCGTTCAGCCGTCGGCTTTGTTTGAGGCAGGGTTGGGTCCCCAGCCATGTGGTGGGGACCTCGACCGAATGGAGTTGGAGGCAAGGAGGAAGGCTCAAGAGGCGGAGGATCAGACCATCCTTGCCAAAGCCCAAAAATTCAAAGAGTCTCAGGCAGACCGACCGCCAAAGCTGGTTACAAGGGAGAGGATTCGACCGCGACCCAAACCCTTGGGGGAAAAAAACTTAGGTGAATTTGTGCCACGACCGCCCCCAATAGATCTTTTGAAGGAGAGGTCATTGAAGGAGATGGAGGTGTTGGGCGTAGTGAAGAAGAAGAGGAGAGTGAGGATGAGTGAAGAAGAGCCTACCCAGAAGAGAAAGAGGGAAGTGAGGGCAGAAGAGACCAGTATGGTGAAGGGGGCAGAGTGGGGGGAGGGGAAGTGAAGGAGACCCCAGGAAGAGTAATTACCCCAGAAATGGTGAACATTGCCTCAGAGGGCATGGAAGTCGTTCTAGTAGTAGCGACGATTGCCGCGGGGGTCACGAGGGTCGCCTTTAAAGTGCAAGTAGAAGGTGGAGCGATTGGAGCCAAGGAGGGAAGAACAGCCCCAGGGGGCTTCTGCACCCCAAGGAGGGGGAGTCAGTCTGACTACTGCGATCTACCATGCTCGTGCGGTGGCTGGGCGGCAGGAGGGAGAAGAAGGCCCAGCCAGGGCCAGGGCGGACCGCCTTGTGGGGATTGTAGAAGAGGCAGCCTTGCGCTCAGCAGCTAGATTCAATGAGGCTGAACTGCTGAGGGGGTTATGCTCTGCTCAAATGGAGGTAACCACCTTAGCAGGGGCTTTGCTGAGGAAGGCTGGGGCTGCAAAGCTCAGGGCAGATGAGGCCAAGGCTCAACTTGCAAGGTTGAAAAAGGAGAGCGCAAACTGGGAGAGTGCCCACGCTGAGCTGCAAACGTCCAAGGTGGAGCTAGAGACCACATGCCGCCAGGTTGTGTCGCTCGAGTTCCAACTAGCTGGTGAGCAGAAGAGGTTGGATGAGCCCCAAAAAGCTTGCGTGGTGGCGGTCGAACGACATGAAGAGGCGATGAGCAGTAATGAAGAGCTGGTCAGGCAGAAGGATGAGGCAGACGTGAAGATTAGCGATCTGTAGAAGGAGCTGGAGGGCCAGTGTGCAAAGGCACTAGAAGAGAGTGAGAGCCTTCAGAAGGAGTTGGAGGCAGAGAGAGCCAAGGCGACTGCTGAGAGGGAGACCTTGAAGAAGGAGTTGAAGGCAGAGAAGGCCAAGGCAACTGTTGAAAGGGCATCCCTAAAGAAGGAGTGTGAGGAAGAGAGGGCTAAGGCAGCCTCTAAAACGGTGACCCTGCAGAAGGAGCTGGACGAAGAGAGGGCGAAGGCAGTCTCTGAAAGGGTGGCTTACCCCGATCTGTATATGGCAGCAGTGGATCAATTCAAGGGGTTTGCTGAGTTTCAGATGGCAATGGATGCCGCGGTCGCCAGCAGCTTGGTAAGGGAGGAGTCTGGGGGGGCGGGCCCATTGAGGACGACCGCTGGGGGCAGAACTAAAGCGGAAGTGATTGAGAGCTTCCAGCAATTAGACTTCTATAAACAAGAAATGGCTGAGTTCTGGGACAGTGGCTGGAGAATGTTCAAACGTAGGGCTGAAGAACTGTTCCCAGACTTAGACCTCAGTAGTGTAACAATTGGTGAAGATGATATGGCCCAGACCTCCCTGGATGAGGGTATTGAAGAAGAAGACCTTGTCTCTAGTGAGGAGGAATGAGTGAAGTGAATAAAGTTTGTACTTAAGAGTTTTTTTTTTTTTTTTGTGTTTGTTTTTGTTTTGAATGGCTGTAATGAACTCATATACAAATTTCTTAATAAATAAAATTGCAATTATGTTTTTGTTTGATTGTCTGTGCTTGTGCAATTGAAATGAATGAGGCGTGGGCGAAGCGAGTGTATAACTCATTGTGAAGTGCAAAGTGAAGTTAAAATTATAATAAAAACTAAATTTAAGAACTCCTCAGTGTAGAGTGAAGTTGAAGTTGTAATAAAAACTCAATGCAGAGTGAAGTTAAGAACTCCTCAATGCAGAGTGAAATTGAACTTGTAATAAAGACTCAATGTAGAGTAAGGTTAAGAACTCCTCAATGCAGAGTGAAATTTAACATGTAATAAAATTATAAGTTTGTGTTTGCCACACTGCTGGAGTAGATTAGTGGTGTATTGGAGTGAGTCTTGGCTTGTAAGGAAACAGGCTGACTTGTAAGAGTTTGATTGAGAAGAAAATAACCTGACTTGTAAAGAAAACGTGTAAGAACATCTTTGGAATTTGACTAAGCAAAGAGTGGTGTAAAGACTTGGACCTGGAATTGTGACTAAGTGTGTCTACTAATTCCACAAGCATAAAGTTTGCATAGATGGCTTTGACCGAGCCCTACACGCGTGCTCAGTTGGGGCTAAGCTATGATTCACTGACGTTGTAAGGAACTCAGTCTGAACCTGAAATTGTGGCACTCGGTCCGGCTGAGACTTGTTATGCTTAGGCTAGCTGAGGCCGAGTGCTTCATGCTCAGTCTGAGTGAGGCTTTTAGTGCTCAGTCTGGGTGAGGCTTTTCGTGCTCGGTCTGGCTGAGGCTTTTTGATGCTCAGTCTAGCTGAGGCTTTATGATGCTCAGTTTGGCTGAGGCTTTTTGATGCTCAGTCTGGCTGAGGCTTTATGATGCTCAGTCTGGCTAAGGCTTTTTGATGCTCAGTTTGGACGAAGCTTTTTAATGCTCATTCTGGCTGAGGCTTTATGATGCTCAGTCTGGCTGAGGCTTCAAGGGAGGAGTTGGAGGTGTAGAGGAAAGCGGAGGAGGAGGAGGAAAGGAGGTTGTTTGCGCGGGCGGACAAGTATAAGGAGTCCCAACTGGGGCCTGCTCTGAAGTCGGTAAAGCTTAACCTTCTTCTTGTCTTCAACGTTTGCTTATATCCTTTGGTAATCATTTCGCTGTCCCTTCCGACCTGACCTCCTCGCCGAAAGTCTATGCTGTAGCTTACCTTGTTCAGGGTAAGGGGGTCCTGTTCCGACGGAGAGGTGTTGTCGTAATAAATGCTGTGATGGGCTGCATTAATGGTGATGTGCAGTGGCAATAACTTTGCAGATCTTTGTCTGTTGATGTGGCTCGTCCTTCACCTGCCGTGTGTCCAAATGTCATTGGCTCTTTATGCCATGTTGGACTCCAGCTGTCCTGGACCTCATCAACTGGGTTATGCATTGGGCTCCAAGTGATGGACTTAGATTGTTCATAGTGATTCGTGACCTTTATAGGCTTATACACGTCACATACATTAGTTTAATGACTAAAATGCTATTTTTCTGTCAGTTGTACTTAACGAAAATAGGCAAATGTTTTAGATTGAAAACAAATCAAAAGATTAAGATTTAAATTAATAAAATTAAAAATTCGGGATTTATTTTGTTAGAAGACTAAAAAGAGTTTTTATTTTTATTTTTATTATATATATATTTATAATTGTTACTAAAATAAAAAATAAATCAATAAAACTAGTTGAGTCAATTTGTGATCAATTCGATTAAAAATCATTTGGGATTACACTACAACATATAAGAGTTTTAGAGGCCAAATGCTTTAGTCTCTAAAAGTAAAAATTTTGTTACAAAAGACATTTAGGGACCAATTTCTATCTTCACGAGGATAGTTGTTAAAAGATCATTCCGAAAAGTCAAAAATAAGGCTTTTAGTGACAATATTTTGAAAATGTCACTAATAAATAGACTTTTAGAGACAAAATAATTTGGTCTCAAAATAGTATATTTTTTGAGACAAAAAATTTGGTCCCAAAAGGATAATAATTCATCACTAATGTCTAATTTTCGTTACTAAAAATATAATAACGATACTTTTCATAATAAAAATATTTAGTCCCTAAAAAATAATTTTGTTCCTAAATTTTGGTTTCCAAAACCTTAATTTTTTTGTAGTGTTAACTCAAAATATTAAGACAAACTTAAACTTTTCGAAGCTTGTTAAAACTTTTAAATCAAATTTAAACAATCAATTACTCAATTAATTTATAACCTCAATTGTCGTGGAACTTAGATTATTGTGTTTACTCATTAAAAAAAAAAAATTAATAATAATAAATGTGTCTATATAATATTTCCCAAAGATAACATAATGAGCAGTACAACATTAATTTTTCTAATGAGTTTCACATGCCACTACCAAAGATCCACAGATTAAATTCTCCTCCCATTGGATATATAGTCATACTAAATAAATTCTTTTTTTTCTCGAATGGTATTCCTAGTCCAAGGTTACATTCAATCAATGTGGTTGATTAGACATATTCTTAACAAAAATTAATGAGCATCATTAGTTTGGGTAATGCAATCATGCCCCCTTGCCATCTTTATCAGAATAAGAGGTGCTCAGAATAAACATTTTAAAATTTATTTAAAAAAATGATACTTTTCAAAACTTGATAAGTTTGAACCTACATGATATACTTTATTTTCAATTATTTTTTAGGATACATATAGCTTTCCGGTTACAATAATTTCCTTAGTTGGGATTGGGTAATTTTGCCATGATGCAAATCACACTTTTTCTATATTGTTGATTATTTGCACCCAGTATAACAAATCAATGTTTAGAGATAAAAATTTGGAGATAAAATATTTTAGTAGTCAAAAAATTTATTGCTGTCTTTTTTTTTTTTTTTTAAAAAAAGGGGATATTTAATGATAAATTATTATATTTTTGTCTAAAAAACAAACTTTTTTAACATGAAATTGTTTTATCCTTAAAAATATATTTACTAGTGACATTTTCAAAATTTGTCGATAAAGTCATTAAAAAAAAAAAACTTTTTAGGATGGTCTTTTAGTTACTACTCTCATGACAATAGGAATTGATCTCTTAATATTTTTTGCAAAAAATTTCAATTTTGAAGAAGAAAAAGGTTGGTCTCTAAGACTCTTATATTGTAGTGACCTTTGATTGTCAATAATACAAATTTTTTTTAATAAAAATAATTTCAGCTACAATACATGAAATAAATGATAAAACAAAACATAATAAAAATGTGGTAATCATAATATTATTACAGATTAAACAAAACTTAATGGCCCAAGTTATAATTTAAGTGGTCATGAAAGGCACATAGGTTAAGTTCCAGTAAGGCGAGATTTTAAATTTGAGACAATGGAGTGACCTCAGCAACGTGGAAAAAAAAAGAAAAAGAAAATCATTAGTGCATATTAGACATGAAATCCACCACATACATTGTTTTAACTTTGCCTACTTTTGCAATGATTAGGTCCATGTACCATGTTAGGTGGTTCACATTTTGCTTGATTCTGAGTGGTAGATGTAACAGATTAATTTCGTAGTTCTATTTTGTTTTGAACTTTGAATGTGGGAAGGCAAAATTAAAGATGTACCAATTATTTTGTGGATATATAAAATGACATTGTCCTAGAAACCATACTCAAATTTGGATGTTCCTTAATTGATGGTGTTAATGTCTCCTTTATTGATTGGCTTCTGGAACAATGCATGTTACTTTAAGGTGGGTTGGTTGGAGTTTTGACAATCATTTATCACTTTAAAAAAAAAAAAAAAAAAATCATTGGGGAAAAAAGTCAATTGGATTTTGGGAGAATCAGATAAATACTAACCATATAATCAAAGGGTTGCTTCCTTTTTCTTTGTTGAAATTGTAGAAGATTGATATTAGCTAATCAAAAGACAGTTAAAAAAATAAAAAATAAGTTTGTAGTGGACAATGACAACTAACAATTGTAATTAGGAATGCTAGAAAAATCTAAAAAATTGACCAAATCGATTAAATCGGACCGAACTGTTTATATTTGGTCTGTTTTTAATAAGAATCAGTCTGTGCAGTATTTTAATTTGATTTTTTTTTTTTTTTGATTTTCGGTTCGATATCGGTTCAAGCATCTTGTGCACCAAACTAAACTGAAACCGACCGTTTCAACATATATTGTATTTAATAGATATGCAATCCAATAATATAATGATATTAAATAAATTATTAACCTTAATTAATTAACCCTGTCATCTCTATAATCTAAATTTGTTAATTCTTATTATATGTTTTTTTGAACATGAAATTCTTATTAAAATCTTTAACTCAAACTCATCATTCTTTAAGTCTTGGCATTTTTTAACCTTTTTTTGTCTGTATTTTCGTTAATCTAGGAATTGAAAAATATTAATTAAATAGATGGATTGAATATGTTTGAAGTTGTGAACAAATAACTAATTCAATGTTTTTGTATAAATTAATAACTATACTAAAAAGTAGCTCAAATTTAAAAAGTCATAAACCGATTAAACCACACCGAACTGAACCGTTTCAATCAGTTCAAGTCGGTGCGATTTGTTATGAGAAGCGGTCTGTATTGATACTCAAAATAATAAAACTGACATTATCAGTTTGGTATTTATTTTTACCTAAATATCGACCGTACCGAACCTATTACATTTTAATGATACAAGGGCCTCCAACTTGTTATGGTTGATTTGTGTTTTAAAATTGTTCTTTGTATGTGGTCTTCTTCAATTAATACAAATTTTATTTTGCTGATAAAAAAAAAAAAAAAAATTAGGAACAGAATTATGAATTTTATATTGTAGGGGTCAAACTAAAAGTATCAATAATTTAGAACATGTTAAATTAAATTTTTATCAACTTCATGATGCATTTAGATGTTTTTATTGAAAAAGAAACACACTTGTTTTTAAC